GATATGCTGTCAGTGCTGTGAACGTCAGCGGCTGTGCGTTGATTTAGTGAGGTGTCACTATCTTCAGCGCCGGCAGGGACAGGCACTCGCTGACAGTGTTGCGTCATCCCTGTCAGCCCGCTGGCTTCAACCAGCTGCCGCTGCCTGCGGCGACTACCTCTCCTTATGGCCGACCATGGCCCGCGGTTGGCGACTGGTGTGGAACGAACGGCGGCACCAGCGGCCGGTCGGCCCCGCGTACTACGTCGTTGTCGGCGCCGCGGCGACCGCCGGGCATCGTCACGGCTCGGCGGGAGTGCAGGGGAGGGGTGGGGTGGGGTGGCGTTGCGCAACGTTCCCGGACCTCCCAGTCCACGTGGCGCCCGACGCCCCCGCCTTTACGGTGGCCCCGACGCCCCCGCCTACACTGTGGCCCCGAAACCCCGTGCCGTATGGACCCGGGTGAGACCGCGCGGTGACTCGCCGGCAGAGAGGGGCGGGAGCGATGTGGCATGGCGAACAGAGGGTTTATCGGGCAGAACGGATGTCTGAGGGGCGTGCTTACATGGTCAGCGGTCAGTGGGATCCGATCTGATCCGTGTTAGCATTATTCGTACTTCGCTACTATCACTGGGGTGTCACTTCAGATACAGTGAGTGAAACTTCGCCACGTAGATGGAGTTCATAAGGTGTTGCATAAGGGTTCCAAGACTTTTGATGGTTTGCAATGACTCGATTGTCGACTTGCATGCCTTTCTCTAATTTTTTAGCCGGTTCTAATGAATTCAACCACGAATAGCTTCTCAAGACTGTTTTCCCCATGAGCCAGCCACAGCAAACGTTTCGGAGAGCGCTGGGTTCGCGAAGCACTTGGTCCGTTTGGGTGGGGCCCTGAAGCGAAACGTTCTGAGACGCTATCGACACATCGTATCTTCGCCATGATTGTCTGCTGCGAAGTACCTCCTGGGGGGTCTTGGGGCTCCCTTATCTCGATCACGCCGGGCTGTATGGAGAGGCTGAGGGATGGCAACCAGGGCTCCCACCCCTGTGAGTCATTGGGATCAGGTGGGCCTCACTGCACCAGCTCGGTTTGCTCAGTGAACTTATCGCTGCCTGTTGTGGTCGACAGTTAGCTTGTCACATGTTTGTATATTTGTTTTCCATCATTTATCTTTATCTGGGCGCAGTTGTCTGTGGCGCAACCATGGCTGTATTTGTGCAGAGTGGGATGATGACTAGCATTGTACACAGATAGGAACGTGTGTCACCGTCAGAGGTAGACCCGGGATGTCCTGTCCGTGAGACAAGGGCGGGGTGCCTGCTCCCCCAATTGTGTGCCGTCAGCTGCGCTCATAACCTCCAGATCTGAATAGTGGACGCACCTGTTGCTCATGTTTGCTCTCGTGAACAGTGATTCACTGTCGGCTGATTTTGAAGTGTCGTTAACGAAGTTATGAAAAGTTCAGGTAGCTTCAGCTAGCAAAAAGTTCAGCTCAGACACAAACAGTGCGACGCCTGGGTTATATTTTGTTTATCTTTCATTGTTCAATTTTAGCGTCTATTTTTTCAGTTTCTTAACTAACCTCTACTCTACATTCCTCTATTAGTCTGTGCAGCGAAGCGGGGCACGCTCCTTGACAAATGATCGGATCGCCTCAATACATAGGTCCGGGGAATTCTGTCAGCGGTGCCATCGATGTTCTGAGACCGTTGACGAGTTCACGGGAGCAGAGATGGCGAGTAATGGCGCAATATCACGCCAGGCAGCGTGTAGTTTCCAGTGAGGGACAATCGCCTTGCTAGCATGTCTGGTTCACATTTGTTCCCCATCGCTCAGTGTATAGTTCCAGATATGGAAGTGGTATGACATTCTTCAAAAGAGGGTTGTGAAAATTGTCAGTTTCGTTAAAAAAAAAACATCACATGGAACAGCTAAGGACATTTTTAGACAGCCATGTCCCACTCTGGCCGCCCAGGGCGCACCCAGAGCGGTCAGATGTCGCGTCCGAGGTCAGTCGGGTCAGGGGCTTCCGCGACGGCCCGGAATTCGCGGAATCGTCTTATCCGTCCAATTACCCGCCGTCTGCCCGACGCGGCATTTCATGAATACGCAAATCCGTTTTAATGCCAGGAATTTTAATGACTTTTTGATAAAATGTTCCGCCAGACGCTCTAGTTCGCTTAAGAAGCGCTAGATATTTACCAAATGTGCCATCCTAAATGAACGTATTCTAGTAGCGCTTAGTTCGGTAACACTGTTCGTTTTTGCCCGACGGCTGCGAAATTTTGCGACGCTGATAGTCAGTTTTGACCAAAGCTAAACACCAGCTCGGGCATTTTCAAAGCAGTGTCTAGTCAAGACTCCTCTCGGTCCTTATCTTACCGTATTTAGACGAGTCTTGTCAGTCTCTGCGCAGTTACCATTTGATAGTTAGTACTCGAACTCCGGAATTTGACAGTTGTGAAGTCCTTCGCTGAGTGTTGGCGTACAATTTATGTCGCAACTGACCTTTGATCCCTGTACGCCGTTTTACTATCACATTTTACGGTTGTTTGCAAACTCATGGTGACTGTCAGACACATCGGTATTTATGGTTTGTTTTGCATTTGTGCAGTTACATTTGGATAGAATTAAGGAACAGGTTTTGGAACATGTTGATCACCGACCACATATGCACTTTACTCACTTTAAAGGCATTCAGCATGTGTGAGCAGGTGGTTGTTATGCAAACGAAAATTTAGTGGTGGCTTCCGGGATAGGTGCAACAAACACGACGATGCATTCATTGCAGACAATATGACTGTCGAAATCGTCCACAAAGGCTAGACCAACGATCTGCATTGAGCTGCTGTCAGCAAACCTATCCTCTGCCATTTCAATAAATGATGCTCCCGAGACCATAATCCCCGCTGTGGTTAGTGACGAAAACGTTGACGTTATGCCACCGTGGTGAAACCCCTGGCGCTACCTCGCTGCTGAACAAACCACAGAGCTGATCACCAGCCGGAGGCCCGGTGCCGCGTCGTTACCTGCACGTCGCTCTGTCTTCCCCGGTCCCTGCCGTCCCATTTCATGTCGTCTCGTTTTCGCTGACGTTTTGTCTTCTGGGCTGTCTTTGGGGAGCGGTGATGGATGATGGCTGTCGGTGGGCGCCGGGTCTCTCCGGGAATAGTGGAGCACAAACTCGACTTAACCCGGTGTGGCGAACGACTGGAGGTCCCCGCTGTTGTCCGTCCTGGTGCCGGATGGCAAGCGTAGGGTGGGGGGTCTGGGAAGGCCGGTCCATCGGTGGATAAGATATGGTATGCTCTTCGTACGGTTGTGGTTATTGCGTTCGATTAGAGCGCGTATGGGAAGGTGTGATTTGCTGTGATCAAAGCTCTGTTTTGTGTTGTCGACTGCTATTGGGATCTGTTGCTGTACTCGGGATATTTTGTAATGAATACTCCAATGAACGTCCCAGTCCGAAACGTTTTCTGTGTGTTTTAAACTGGTGTGACTAGCGGGTCATGTCATGCCCCCCTAAGTCCCCTTCTACCACCAGTTCCTTTGTGGTCCCTTCCTGCACTCCACCACCCCCTCTAACGTCATAGCCCTCTCGCTGTGGCTCCTCTGGTCCCCTGTGGCGCCCCGCAGAGTTCCACGCTCCGCCACAGGGAAGTCCGAGCCCGTCGCACCGTACCCGGCACCCCGTGTGAGTCGGTGTGTGGCCCAGTTCTGGGCCGACCACGTGGCCGCACCGGGGTCTGCCCTTTGTCCGGGGCTCTGTGGGCGCTTTCCCTCCTCCTCCACGCAGGGACTTGGCCGTAGGGGCGCAATGGTTGGAGGGCGGCTGACCGCTGGCTGTACGACGGCAGGTAGCTAGCCGTCGACTGTACGGTTGGTGATCACCTTTGTCAAAATTAGGATGAATTGTGGCGGGTGTAATATCTTTTTTTCGACTAGAAATGAATGAGGCTCTAACATCTGAGTGGTTGCAGTTTGTTTTGGCTGGCGCATTTCTCATTGTTCACCAATTTAAGGCTGGCTAGGTGAAGACGTTTTTATTTTATTGAAAAATTCTTGCTTCATCATGCCATCAGTCGACAACTACCTACTGTGATGATATTGTGTAATGCCGTCGTACCCAGGGTATATTGACTTACAGTCGTACCGTACCCTCATTACATTTAATCGGACTCTTGAGTATTTTGCACACAGGACATGCAATTGAAATTGAAACATATGGCACGCGAGCAACCTGCAACAGACACGTGCCCAAACTTTGGCAAAACTTTCACAACGGATAATGGGTTGAGATAAGATTGCATTGTATGGAAAACGCGCAATGGCCAAAGCTGAAGTCGCACGACACTGCATTCCCGAGCAGAAGTTTCGAATGGTGTCCATTGTTCATGCTCAATGGCATTGTGAGCATGGTTGTCATTTCACAGAAGAGTTTTCAGCACTGTGTTGTGTTATGTTGATGGTTTGTCAAAGTATTGTACCGAGAAACACCCATTATTAGATGAGAACCAGGGCGCTACCTGTGAATTGACCAGGATGAATACCAGCTAATCGGTACCCCTTCAGCTCCTGCACAATCATTGATCACCGGTTGTTGGCTTCCTATCAGCCATCGGTGTAGATATGCTACCTGTCCCTGGTCAGCCGGAACTCTGCCGGTGGGAGCCGGACCGTACCGTCCACTCCCTGTGAAGTCCCTGTCGCTGTCCTGCCGACATGTCCAACACGCCCGCGGGCCCGCCCTGGCCGCGCGCCGGCATGTCCTACCTCTTGTACCCGCTCGCCGGTGGTCCGTTTTGGCGGCACCCCTTATCACATGACTATCGCATGACTGGCGCGAATCAGCCACGTGGTGCCTCCTCACCACGTGATGGTCGAGCACTTTCACCCGGGGTTACCACGTGGCTGGCCGCGGCCGATTACCTCTCGTCGTCTGGCCGTTCTCTGTGCTCACCCTGATGACCCCCGGTGATGTCTCCTGACGTCTGACGTCGCGTCTGTCTCTGCCCCGCAGGTGTGCCGACGATATGAGTGTCCGATCTAGTCAGGTGTATGGTGATGCTTTCGGTGTGCGGCGGTATGAGGATTATAAGGCGGGTCGGAGGAACGCCTACAGGAGTGGACCTTTTTTAGACAGGTGAGTGCCGAGAGCAGCCCGCGCTGCACCGGCGAAGGGGGAGGGGAGGGTGTCGGTGAAGTGCCTCAGGGTGTGGTGTGGTGAAAGGTGCCCCGTCCCCCGTGTGCTCCCGTTACAGAGAGGGTGTAGCATGTGTGAATGTTCCCTGAAAAAGTGCGGGCAGATAAACCGCCGGTGATGTAGGTACGCGCGCTGTCGGCCGATGAAGTTGGTCGATTGCACGTGCACTGAACCGTTCCCTGCCGTACTCGCCGTCTGTTGTCTTTGTAAACGGTTGCACAAGAAGTTGCGATGGTAATCGTGTTTATTTTTACCCTTGCTCCTCGGCGATGACAGATATACGCGATCTCCTCTGGTGCTGCGTCAGCGAGTGCGCGTGCTGTGTGAACTTGCGTAAGAGACCTGTAGTGACCTATTGTTGGACGTCCAGCCCGCTGCCAATTGCGCAACCTGGCAGAGTCCAGCGCCCCTGCGCGCGACTGACCGCGTGCGGCCCCTGCACTTCGGCCGTCTGGGCCGACACCTCGCCAGACGACACCGCTGCCAGCGCCGCCCCGGCAACCGGTTCCCGGTGGCGACTGTCACGGTCGGTCCGAGCCCAGGCCCCCACCCGGGCCACTGTTGTCAAGCCCAGAGCGGGATCGGCGCCGGGTCTTTTTCCGGCGCAGCGCGGCCTGTTTGATGTGACACCGACGTCGTTTTTGCGACCTCATTCTAATGCGACGATGAGGTCGACGTAGAGGGGCGGAGGCCGACCGGCCGTCACGTCGCGTGACGTTACGTGACGTCTGTGACGGCCATGACGTGACGTCTGTGACTATTATGAAGTGACGGGCTGCGATGCTCTGGAGGAAAGAGATGGCATCTGTCGCTGGTGCTCGTTAGCCCGCCAGCTCTGCGGTCTTGTGTAAGGCGGTGGTTAGTGACAGCGTGTCGGCCGGCATGGCTGAATATTCAGCAGTCACACCGTGCCGCAGGTTGCATTGTCGCTGGAGGCCACTATCCCCCGGTCTGCACCTGTCCTGTTATTCACTACATCGTCCACCAATGCAGTTGCAGCCCAATTCAGGATGACCATGGCGCCTGAGAATGCTGGCTAAACTGACTGTAACTCCATCCATCCGCAAGAAGCAGACTTTCGGAAGGTTATCCAACAGCGTATCCCGGCAGCGCTGTCCATCCAAGAGTAGGCAAATGTTCTGCCATGACGAGTTGGCCAGACCGCACAGCCGTTCAGCCGCACTGCCGGCTACCTGGCGGACATAAGCCCACCTCTGCCGCCTGCCCGGCTCTGGCGCCACCACTGTGACCCCGGTCACCAGCTCCTAATCCGGGGCCGCGGCCGGTGGACCCGGCCCGGATTAGACCGCGCGCCGGCCCGTAATGCGCCCCGTGACGTGTCCGACGGGCCCGGCTTACGGCGGCCCGGGCCGGGGACAATTTCCATTACCCGCCCAGCAAATGAGCTCCAAGACCTAAGCCGCCGGCGGCGTCTGGGGAGCCGCGAAGTCGCCTGCATGCGATGCGAACGGTCCGGGCTCGGGTGGATTACGGGAGGCTATTTGCGTATAAGGAATGTTTATTCAGCTGGACGCGAGTATTCTGATGCTCTGTCTAGCCGCTGCTTTCCTCGTGTGGTTTTGCCGACTCTGGTATCATGAAATCACATTAACCCTATTAGTGGCAGGGGGGGGGGGGTTGTTTTTATCCACCCCTCAGGTTTTTCGGGAATATCTCCGAAACCGCTGAAGCTACGATGCTGAAGTTTTCTGACTTTTCCTAAAACTAAATTGGGCACATTCCCTGAAAATTTCAAGTTCATAACTTTACCAGGGGCGGCTCCAGAGCACTGGGAATTGGGGGGTCCTATTCGTGAAGCGAGTCATTTGGGCGAAGATCACGATGCTGCACCAGTTTTACGAACAGTGAATGAAAGGTATCATGTGATAGCATATACAGTTATTGTGCATCCTCTTTTGACAGTTTTTGCTATAATAGGCGGATCCAGGCGTCCAAAAAGGGGGGTTATGTTTTACCTCCCAACATAGGTGCCCTGACACCGCCTATGCATGACCAATACAATTGTAGTCGTTCTCTCATAAGAAAATTGTAACATAACAAGACCATTACCACCCTTTTTAGAAACAGTACCAACAAAAACCTTATTTACTATACTTTTTGTGTACCCCCAATCTCAATGATCTGTATCCGCCTATGATTTTTGAAAATGCATACTTTTAGGATCCATGTGAATTCCTGGTTCATTCTCTATCGATCGGCAAAAGTTGCGTTAAGATTGGTTCAGAAACCTGGCCGTGATAAACAGTCTAAAATGTATCTGCAATTTGCCCGTTTTTACCCCCTCTACCCCCTATTGACATTTTTTCAATTTTTATTTTTTAGAAATGTAGATCACGTTGAGCGAAATCGAATGCCGTTTGAATTTTGAGAATCGGCCCGTTAGATCTCGAGATATCAAGGGGGGGTCGTAAACAGCCCCCCCCCCCCTGCCACTAATAGGGGGTAGCCAGGAGCCTGCCACTAATAGGGTTAAGTCGTTTTCTGCACTTTTCCCCGGGTATCGTAGAGTCTCTGTGTGCGGCTGTCAACGTCTCTGTTTTTTTTTCTGAGGCTTAAATACCCCGACCCCAAAAGCATCCACTTGGTTATTCGAAGAAAATCAAATCACTTTTTCATAAGATTTTCAAAGTGACGTCATTTCCATCTGACCTTCGCTTTTCTTGACGTTTCAAGGCCTATAGAGAACCGATATGGCTCCTCATTACCAGTTTTTGGGTATGCAGTGCACGCTTCGTATTTTATCGTAATATTTCAGGGAGTCTCGTGAATGCAAAGATCTGGAGGCTGCATAAAAAGCATCCGGCGACTTTTACGAACATTTTTAGTACGACTTTTGATGTGCTTGTCCTCAGAATTCAAAAGTTGCCGGGTTTCTGAAGGTCTGACGAGTTTTTGCGGCTTTTTCCCGGGTCTGTCGGGTCGGTGCCGCGGCGGCGCCGGTACTCGTTGGGCGCCGGAAACGAGCGGCCTCGGTTCTCGGAACGACGCACCGCTCCGTCGCTCCCCGTCGGAGTCGTCGAGCCGCGTCGAAGCGCGCCGCTTTTAGCCGCGGCCGGCAGCCTGGTACGGCGGCGGCCGGAGGCGGAGCTGGGCACGCGTCCCTCAATGGACCCGGACTGAATACGGCCTAATGGCGTCTGGGCCGTGCGCATACACTCGTCCCGATGGGCGGCGCTCCATAAGGCCGCCGGTGCGCCGCCACCGGACGCACGACCGTCTATAGACCCCAATCAATAGACTGCGGCCTCGGGTCCTCCTCTCAGCGCGCACTCTATCCGGGCAGCTCGGCTGTGCGCCCAACAGCTCTGTTTCTTCGTATGGCTCTTTCTTGCCTCAGGCGTGTGCTGGAAGTGCTCCTGCAGATACCCGGATATTGTTTCTGACTTTTTGTCGAGAGTTTGATAAACTGTGGCTACTGTTTATACTGTTTTTTTTTAGCCAATCTAATAAATGATTGTTTTTTCTTGCTTCAAAGAATTTATTTGTGTTATATTTTTGTTCCCGCTTTCTTCTGGTGTAGAACATACACGCATCACGCCTCTGGCCGTCGCCCTCCCTCGCTGGCCGCCGTCCTCTCGCCCGCCGGTCTCCCGGGTACGCACAGCGCCGTCCGCTGCTCCCGTATCGGTCATCCACCGTCACAGCGGCGTGGCGGCGCGTCCGTCATCCATCCCCGCTGGGCTCCGGCCGCCGGGGGCGCACGTCATATGCGGCCAGCCTGCGCGCCCCGATACATCGGCTTATTGCCACTCAGGCCGGTCGGCCGGCCGTGCCGGGCTGCGCTCCGCGCCGGTGAGCCGCGCTGAGCCCGGCAGATTGGTCGGCCCAATGACGGATCTGGCGTGGCGCAGCTGCCGCTGGCGGCTGCCCCCCGGTGGGTGGTGGGTGGGGGTGGAGGGGGTGTTTATTTGCCGCCCACTGACCCGGATTTGGGCCGCCGCCGGTGGTGGCTCGCTGTTTATCGCCGCCCAGTGACGAGTGCGTCGCCGCGCGCCTGAGAGCGGCTCTTATCGCGTCCGCAGAGAGCCAGCCGGCCAGCTTCTCCTGAGAGGCCGATAGTGGCCGCCCCCGCCCCGCTCCCGCCCCCGCCCCCGCCCCCGCCGCCGGCCCCGCCCGACTTATCTGCCCACTCGGCCGATAGGCATTGGCGACGCACTGCCGAAGTCTGGCGATGGTGTTCTGCTGATTTTGAGTTATATGGGAACATGCACAAAATCAGAAATTATAGGGTAGACGTTAACTACGACTCCATGATATGCTGGAAAAGGTCCTATTTCTGATGCCATTCTTGTTATTACATTTATTTATAGTTTATAGGTCATGGAGCCTGGTTGCGTAGTACACGTCATGAAAGAACAGTCAGCCCGGAGTGCTCAAAGGCGTTTCCGGTCTTCGGAGCTCGCTCCGAAGCCCTGCCTGGTCCAGGAATTAATCCGGTTGATGTTGAGCAGATGACTCCCTTTCAGTGAACAATGTCGCGTTGCACACACTGCAGAGTTCAGTGCGGTAGGCGTCGTAGTAACTATTAGAGCAGCATCGTTTGAAGTCCAGGGAACGTGGCTGGCAATGGTACGTAGGTCTCCAGTCCGTCTTGAGCTCTTTTGCAACGCTCTCTGGTTCGTGGGACTCGTGACCGGGGGCTCACAGCCACGATCGTCAGCTGAGGGCTTCTCCAGAGGGAGCGAATCATCGTCGCCGCCCAATGACGCGTCATCGCTGGCCGCTGAAGCGTCACTGCACGACATCGGAGCGTCATCGCACGACGTCAAAGCTGCCCCTCACGACTGTCGGCGGCGGAAGACACGCCACCTGCGCGATGTCCACGCTCCGTGCGAGGTCTGCGCGGCCGACCGGCTCGGCTCGACTCGTCAAGCGACCGGTAACGTTTCCTCATCGTGGCCAGGATAACATCTGAGCGC